TACAAGAAATTGCTTTTTAACAAAAATTAGCCTTTACTATATATATATATATATATATATATATATATATATANTCCAAATCCGATCGGTCAAATTGTATTAATATGTCCTAAGAATCATATATCAAATTTTGAGGTTGATCTAACGGTTAGATATTAATATATTAATTTTTTAAACTGTAAAATTACTGTTAGTATTTTAGAATTAATTAATTATAATATTTGATTAAAAAGATAAGATGAACATTTAATATACGATGAATATTTTGATATTTGACAGATTTTACTCAGTTTTAATTTTAAGATATTTCTTTTAACAATGGTAATATTATATATTTTGAAAATAATATTTTATAAACAATACACTTATTTAAAAGTAAATTCCCTAAACACAATTTAATATTTCTATTAGAATGTTAATCTCTTCCAACGTAGAAATTCTCTAAGTACCTTTAGTTGTAACAAGAAATTAAGATGTTTTAATTCTTTTGGATTCAAATAAAAAAATATAAATACTCAATAAAAGCAAAGGCTTTAATTAAACTAACTTAAAGTGAAATAATTCAATTATATTTTTATTTGCCATAGTATTTCATAACTCAAAGAAAAGCAATTCAATAATCCAATTATAATATATATTGTAGAAAAGAAAGTCCAAAAAGTGAAGTACTAGTATTTTGGCTTAGGCGAGTGTAAAATGTCGTACATGCATGGATCATATACATATACAAATTTAATGGAAATAAATAACACAAACCTTTACGTCATGTATTAGTTAATTAATTAAAACGAAAAAACATTAAAATCTGAATTGAAATGTAAACCTTTTTTTAAAGAAAAAAAACTAGTTTTAAATTCANTAGAACAATAAGAGGCTAAGCTCACTACCAATACCAAGATCAATCCAAAGGAGTAATGCAAATCCATCAGCGCGAGGAAAGGAGTTGTAATAGGTAAGGGAATTGTTAATGACTTGAGAGATGAAAAGAAAGGTAAGAAATCTAAACTAGAAAAGACGAGAGAAAGTGAGGACGAGCATAAGTTTAAGTGTGAAAAAGAAGAGTTGAAAGAGAAAAAGAGTGACCTTGAGCGTGAAAAATTTAGAGAAGAAAAAGAGGTAGAGAGTGAGAAAAACATCTAAGAAAGAGAAAGAAAAATGTTATGCAGAAAAAGAAAAAGAAAAGGAGAGAATACGGGAAGAGAAAGTGAGTGAAAAAGAAAGAGAGAAGATGAGAGAATACATAAAAGAGGGAAAGTTAAGCAAAAGGAAATCATTCACGAATAATAACCCTTTTGTCACTCACTTACCATATCCACTTGGAGGAACAAAGAAAGATAAAGAAAGACAATTTAAAAGGTTCTTGGATACGATTAAGAAGTTGTAGATCAACATTCCATTTATAAAAGCTATAAAGCAGATGCCTACTTATGAAAAGTTCATGAAGGATTTGCTGACCAAGAAAAGAAGAATCTTAAAAGAAGAGATTCTAGAGTTAGATGATGGATGTAATGTTATTATACAAAAACCTTTACCACAAAAAAACCTCTCACACTCATGTTTTCAGCCCAACGACTTCAACACTATTTATGAAGTTTTAACACATGTGTTTGGACTACCCTATTAGGCAAAACTTGTAGAAGCCTGAGCTCGTAGGCGGGATGACCACATGATCGATGGAGTTTTCCAAGTTTGGGATCACCTATCAAAATCACGGGGCAATGAAAGCACATTAATTGGTAGACTTCCTAACAAAACTCCTAACAATAAGAGAACACAAAGCTTGGTGGTCGTTGAGCATGGATGCATCCTAAAAAAAGTGAAGTGGGGCTAAAAGATATACTAGAAGGACCCGATGACCTAATTATAGAACAAGCAATTTGGTTCACCTTCAACACATCAACAATTAACCAAAGTATGAATCGTTAATTACAAATCTACGCCACGCACACGAACTCGAAGTAAAAAATTTATAGTGTAAAAGTGATTCCCAACTCATTACCAGTCAAATAAAGGGAGATTACAAAGCTATGGAACCCTTTCTACAAAAGTACTACTACTTAGCCAAAGCCATAACTGGGAAGTTCAAGGAGTTCTAAATCCACCATCTCCATATATAAGAAAATGACCAAGCTAACATGTTGAAGCTTGTTGACATCAAAAAGGCCAACTAAGAAAGAAAACTAATCCAAGAAACACTTTCTTTTCCAAGTTTGGATTAAGAAAATGTATTTTAAATTTCTTCCATTTCACTTAGTTGAATGACATCCATCATAAGTTATTTAAGCTTGGATATACTGCTTGAAACCTAGCTGAGGCAAAAATTATGTGAAGGCAGGCATCCTTTACACCCTACAAAATGGAGAGCTCTTCAAAAGAGAGTTCTCAACTCTACTTCTTAAGTGCTTTAATCTTGACCCAGTGTAGTATGTATTGGCTGAGATGTACTGTGGAATTTGTGGAATGCACTCTTGAGCTCAATACATGGCCATCCCGACTCAAAGTTGGATACTATTGGCTGACCTTAAAGAAAGGCGCACATGATTTCATCACCAAGTGCGAAGAATGTCAATAGTTCGACACCATTACACCTAATACACTAGAAAAGTTGCACCCGATAACTACCCTATGGGCATATACAACTTTGGGAATGTATATACTCAGGCATTTCCCAATAACTAAAGGGTAGGTAAAGTTTGTGATAGTAGTCATCGACTACTTCACATAAATAGATTGAATCAGAATCATTAGCAAATATCATGACTCATCAGGTACAAAAATTATGCTAGAAGAACATTATAGGAAGACATGGATTGTCGCACTCCATTATTATTGATAATGAATGACAATTCATTGATAAAGGGTCAGAACATTTCATGACCCAACTCAACATCAAACACTGACTTTCCTTCGTAGAACATCTGCAAACCAATGGCCAGCTAAGATTGCCAACAAAGTGATTCTTACCGACTTAAAAACGAAAATTAAGCAAGGAAAAAACCTTTAAGGTCGAGGAGATATTGTCCATCTTATGGGGTATGATAAGTGCCAAAATTGAGTTAATCTGGAGATGAATTTAAAAATTATCTTGTTTTGATTATGTTAATTTTCAATTAAATTTTCCACAATTTAGTTTGTTTTATAGTTTCTAGAACAATAAAAAAGTCAAAGTGAAAAACCAAAAGAATTAAAAGAGATTCAAACAATTATGGACAAACTGTGACTAAGCCATGAATAATAGAATTGAGGTTGAGCCACAAAAGAGAAAACGCCTTTGAAGAGGAAACCTCTAGCATTAAACCTGAGGCTAAGCCATGAAGACTCATTCTCAAAAAATTTATCTCAAGAGTTGACCATCAAAGCACGAGACTAAGCCATCAAAGCAAACCCACATTGGAAGGAAAGCTCACCTGCTGAGCCACAAAACCATTGTTGAGCATTGCCCTGGACAATTTATAAAAATAAAGTTGTACCTTTATTTGAGACAGACTTTTTTGGAGACATTTTGACACACTTTAGAGAGTCTTTGTAAAAACTTTTCTATGTACTTATTATAAAGCATAAATGGATGTTTGATAGAGGACTATCTCCTAAACGTATATGATAAGAACTTAAGGAAGAACATTTTGCAATTCAAAGAATCTATGACAAGGTAAAAGATCAAAACATGCCTCCTTGAATCTTATAATGTTCCATGACAGAGAAAACTTGAGGAACATGAAGATCATGAGCAATATTGGAGAATAATTTAGGAAATTAAATAAATTGTAATTTTATTTTAATTTTACATAATGTTAAATTTTCTATGCGAGCCAGTTTATGTTCGTTGGGTGAGCCGACCTTGCTAGGTGAAAGTCTGGGTTTGTAATTTTTGTTTTCTATTATTTTTATGTGTTTTGGGCTTTATTTTAGAATTTATAGGACTTCTTAAACTTATGTACCTATATATAAAGTACCAAAAATTGATGTAAACACTTTTGAGTCATATTATATGCATTTGGATTCTTTGAGAGAAGACTCTCTTAGTTCTTGGATTAGAACTCTAATTGTTATTAAAGATTAACATTTTTTGGCGAATCTTCACTCAATAGGATCTTATAATCTAGTTTTCAGAACAAGGTTCTCGTTTGAATTTTTTTTCTTAGATACCAAATATCATTTGGTATTTAGAGCAAGGTTCTTATTTGAACTTTTTTTCTTAGATACCAAATATTATCTAATATCTAGAGAAAGGTTCTGGTTTGAATATCTTCTTTTATCTTATTTTTCTGTCATATTAGAAAAACTCAATATTTTATCTAATTCACTTTAACTTTCTTTATTTGTTTGTTGAACTACTAAATTAAAAAAAAAATAGTGAATCCAAGTAAAAAAGAAACAAATATATATTGAAAAAAAAGAAAAAATAAGAATCCAAAAGTAAAAAAATTATAGAGTTCAACACAAATTATTATAATACACTATTGTTTATGATTTTTAATTTATTAAATTATATTCAGTCTATTTTAGAGTCTCCCTATAATTTTCTATTTTTATTATTTTATATTTTTTGAAATTCTCTTAAGTTTTGTCAAGAATTTTCTATTTTCTTTAACTTCTTAAGTCAATATTTACATCGTGTAACATTTTTCATATTAATTTATCACTCTTTACTTAAATTACTCAAGTTCTTTGCCAAACACTAAAGTAATTTAAGTGAAAAAAAGATAAGAATGTAGTTTAAAAAAAAGTAACCTACAAGTATGGCAAGCAAGTGAAATTTAAATAAAATACATAAAGAAATGGTAATGATTTGTTATTTTTTTTCCTAAACTTTTGTAGAATTTATCAATATTAAACCATGCAGACATCTTTCTAAAAGTGTGACTTGACCGAATTGATTTTTAAATAAATAAATAAACAAACTTTTGAAAAAATCAATAAACAAATTCAATATCAAAAGAAAACTAAGCAAAATATTTAAAAACCGTAATTTATCGCAGTATCCTTAATTTCCCGCGGTATCATTTTAAAAAACCAAATAGCATTTAATTTCGACCATTTACGCGCCGTAACGAAAGCGATGGCGCTATCCACCGACGCATCACCACCACCTTCCTTAGGAGAAGAACCGTTACCTCACGACGGCGACGGTTACGACCTTAACGATGATGATAGTGCTTCGTTCGGCGTCGTTTCACTGGACGACGAGAGTTTTCCGTCGCAACTCCCGGGATCGGAAACGCCGTCGGAAAAGAGCAGTTTCACCGCTGATTTCTATCGTTGCGGAACCGATTGGTCCTCGCTGATGTTGCAGGATGATAAAAATAATAGACACTCCGATTTCGAGGGCGATTCAGGGAAGAAGATGAAGCAGGCCAACCTGTTCCAGATTTGGGGTTTCAAAAGAAGCGACGTCGTTGGTTTAGTTGAATCTGGACCGAGTTTGAGTGTTTATTCTGATAAAGGAGGTAGTTCTTCTGAAAGGAAGATTGTGAAACCTGGAAATTGGGGTTCGATTTCGCGCGACGGAGAAAAAGAGTCCGAGGACACGAAATCTCTCCGCAAGAGAAAGTGTTTCAGTGGTGAAAATAGGGTTACACGTTCATGTCCCTTTTATAAGAAAATCCCAGGTGAAATTTTTATCATAACTCCACTAATTCAAGTCGAGTCAGGGAACTGACTTAATGGAACAAGTACATCCGAAACTGCAATTTGCTTTAGTCCAAGAGACTGATGAAACAAATTTATTGAAAAATTAGTTTGGCAATAGTTCCATCTTGGACGTTTGTCCTGAGATTTTGTTATGAAAATTAGAAAACATGAAATGTTCTAAATGAACATACTTTATTTGCAAATGCAGGGACAACATTCACTGTTGATGCTTTTCGGTATGGGTCTCTTGAAGGGTGTTCAGCGTATTTTCTTAGTCATTTCCATTGCGATCACTATGGTGGCCTTAGCAAGAAATGGTCTCATGGCCCTATCTATTGCTCTCCTCTCACGGGACGGCTTGTTCAAATGTGTCTATCGGTAAATCCTTTGTAAGAACTCCGAAACTCCCATGTCTCCTTTGCTCTGTTTGTAGATTGCTCAATTACATGAACTTACAAATAAGACTCTGCACTTGATGATGTTTTTCACATTGCATTTCTGTGAAGGGATTACCTTATGTGTGTGTGTGTTTGTGTTTTTATATATATATATATATATATATATATATATATATATATATATATATATATATATATATATATATATATATATATATATATATATATATATATAAAATAATAAATATTTTTAAGTTTATAATTAAATTTTGAATAGAATTAACCGTAAAAATAATTTATATATTTAGAAAGTCAATATATTTATAAAATGTAAATAGTAGATTTTGTGAAAATATAAAGAATAAAACATGTGTAAAATTATAGTAGATTTTCTACACATATAAAGAATATGGAAAAATATATAGAGTTGACTCGTTAAACTATAGATTAGTATATGAATAGACTAATATAATATGAATTTCTATACTTGTTTAACCAAAGTAATGACAAACTCATTCAATATATGTTGTTAGACTCATCTAATCAATATATGAACATATTTGTCTAATGTGTATTATTAGACTCGTCTAATTTGTATATGAAGAAACTTGTGTAATGTATATTGCAAGACTCGTCTAATCATAGAATGGACAAAGTCGTCTAATGTACATTAATAGATTCATTTAATATGTGTATGAACAAACTCGTCTAACATATATTGTTATACTAGTGTAATTAATGTACGAATACACTTGTCTAATGTATGTTAAGAGACTCGTTTGATTAGTGTATATAAAGATACTTATCTAATAATGTATATTCTTAGACTCATCTAATCGATGTGTGAAATTGTCATCTAATATTTTTTTTTCTATACTCATCTAATTAATACATGGATAGACTCATTTAATGTGTATTGTTAGATCTACTATTTTTTGCTATACTAATATAATCAACGTATGAATAGACTTGTCTAATGTGTATTGCAAGATTCATCTAAGCAATAAATGAATAGACCTATCTAATGTTTATAATAGACTCGTCTAATTTATGTATTGAAAGATTTTTCTAACATATATTGCTAGAGTTATCTAATAAATAAATGAGTGGCTCATCTAATATGTATTGCTAAACTCATTTAATCAATACATCGACAATCTCATCTAATGTTTTTTGCTTTGCTTATCTAATTAATGCATTATCATACTTGTATGATAATTTTGTTACACTCAACATATGAAATGATTTGTCTAATATTTTTTGTTATACTCACTTAATTATTATAAGAACAAGCTCGTGTAATTTTTTTGTTATATTCTTCTAATCAATATATGGAAAGATTCATCTAACATGTATTGTTATACTTGTCTAATTAATATATCAATAAACTTACATAATATGTATTACTAGACTTGTTTAAGTAGTATATAGACATACTCATATAATGTGTATTACTAGACTCGCCTAATAAATGTATATTCACACTTGTGTAAGGTGTATTACAAGACTCGTCTAATTAGTGAGTGGACAAACTCGTCTAATGTGTATTAATAAACTCGTTTAATTTGTGTATAGACAAACTTACCTAATATATATTGTTAGACTTGTGTAATCATTATATAAACATATTCGTCTAGTGTTTTTTGCCAAAATTGTTTAATTAGTGTATAAATATAGTCGTTCAATCAATGTATCTACAGACTCATTTAATTGTATTGCAAGACTTGTTTTACTAGTGAAATATCAAACTCGTCTATTGTGTATTAATAGACTTGTATTACGTATGAAGAAACAAACTTATGCAATATATATTGCTATACTTGTCTTATGAGTGTATAGACAAATTAATTTAGTGTTTGTTGCTAGAGTTGTTTAATTAGTATATGAACATACTCGTCTAATGAGTATTCTTATTCTCGTCTAATCAACGTATGAAATATTTCTTCTATTCTATAATAATTTATTAAATAAATAATTAATTAAAAGTTATAAAAAAATAAAATAGAAAATAAAGAAACAATATAGACAAATTAATTTTGAAAACAAAATAAATAGATTAAAAGATAAAATGAATTTTATGTATATGTAATAGCAAAATAAATATAAATAAATCAAATTAAAAAATAAAATAAAAAAATAGAAAAATGAAATAATTTGTATGTGTAACATCCCAAAAATATAGCATAAAACTATATACAGGAGTCATCATTTAATAATATGATAGAACACTTATAGGTCATAAAGTTAACCTTACAGTTATTACAAAATAAGCATAAAATTTAAACATTTACAGAAACTTCTTATACTACTGCAAAATTATACCCATAACCGATCGGTTAATTCAAGAGTATAGTGGTGATCGAACGGTTCACCCAAAACTATAAACACTAATATGACCGAACAATCATAAACTAAACAGCAGGACTATCGCCGTCCAACTCCTGCTCCAACGTACACTCCTCTCCTTTTGCTCACACCCAAAGGTGATCATCGCAAGAGAAAAACTGAACAGAAACATGGACAAACAGAAAATAAGGGTAAGCTAATATAATTTAATTTACTATACATACATACAGTTTCTCCAAGTTCAAACAATGCAAAACCGAACGCTACCTCAAATTAAAACCAAGCACAGGCAAACATATATAAATTAAACATTTAAATAGTTAAGACCGATCGTAATACTCATGTATAGACCTGACATCTGACTCGACCATCCGGATCGTATGAATATGTAGCTTGAGGCCGTTCATGCACTCGGGTGGTGTAGTAACTGGAAAATCATCAGTTGCCACCGAGGTTAGTCCGTTATAACTCATTCATGAACCTATGGGCTAGGACCTCCTACCATTCTCACACAATGCATTACTCATCTCTACTTGAGAATTGGTAATCATCAGAATATCAAGATGAACTCCGTGAATTTCACTGTCCATATTCATACTTTACCACATCAATACACATTTCACTGAGACATTCCTCCTTGGAATTCTCTTCCACATTACATGAAACATATACCTTATTTGAATAACAATATAATTTCTCATACCCAATAGATCAATACAACTATCTCGAGCAGAGTCAAATAGTGAAATTAGCATTTAAAGACTAAATAATAATTCATAGAAGAAGACCAAACGGTAACAACACAACCCCTGAATATGACCGAATGAAAACTCACTAATTGTGACAAAATCGAACACTTAGAGTTTAGACCGAATAGTAAGAACTTAGACCAAATACTTATAAATTAAACTAAACACTTAGTGTAAGACTGAACGATATTTCACTATCCACAGAATAGGATTGAGCAGTCCATACTAGGTAAGGATGACGAAATGGCCGAATACTAAAACTAAATATAATACTAACACGAAACCGAGCGCTATAACCTAAGATGACCACTAACAGTTTAATCTGAACACTTAAGATTGATTCTAAATACTATTTATAAGATCTAACACTTTTAAGAAACCGAGCGTTACAACAATATAACTGAACTATGTACAGGAACTACTATCCAATTATAACCGAATGCATTTAAGCCTAATACAAGTATTAGGTCTAACACTAGTATAAGAACGATCGCTAATAAGAGACTACCCAACCCGATAAGACTAATCACTATTACAGAAGCATATAAAACTAGGAGGTCAACCACTCACTTAAGACCGAGTGGTCATGAACAGATAAACTAAAGAAATCTAACCCCATTGATGACCTAGTGTCTGACCATGACCGAGCGGTTAACATCAAACGCTCAGTTTTCTGCATAATTCTGCAGAACTTCTGCAGAATTATACAGGATCATCAAACTCATGAACATAACATTTCATACAAACATCACCGAATCATCAAATCATTCAATTTCACACACACATAATCATCAACAACCTTTTCATACATCATCACCCAAACAATTAAATTAAATAGCTTATTTTACCTCTTAACTGGACAGAACGCTCATAGTGAAGAACTCGCTCACCATCAAAAATCTCAGAAACCTAAGATTCACTGATTGAGGAAAAAAATAGACCAACCACAAGACAAAAAATGTGATAAAAAATTTTAAAAGAAGAAGATAAACACATGCAAACAGAAACTTGATTTGCATATGCCAGAAAATAGACTTTCTCAGAATAAGAAGGACATACCAGCTCAAACAACCACTTGATCGGTGAAAAGAGAACTCTTGCCACCAGCCAAGCTCAGACACAATCTGATTGATGATCAGATGAAGAAGAATGTGAGAATTTGCAGGAAAAAGGAGGATAATTTTATAGAGAAGCTAGAGAGAATGAGGAGAAAAGAAGGTTTTAGAATTTTAGAAAGATGAGTTGCTTGCAGAGAGTGACACCAGATTTTAAAATTTTCCTTTATATACTACTGTAAAAAATCGATCGGTCTACTCTACTGTTCGCACTTGTCTTCCACTTTCTGAATTTCAAATACCCTACACCTACACCTGACTTCTACTCTCTACTGAAATTAAGGGTTCTGACACTATGCATGTATAGTAATCAAATTGTTTCTGCTAAAAGGGACCGGGGAAAAACTCCTGCTGCAACCGCTTGGGAACACTCCTCCTCTACCGATCGGTCCTTCTCACTTCCACCTTCTTTCTTGTCTCTTGTTCTCTCAATCTTAAAATGGGGTGACCTGCAAACAACTACTCGATAATGACCGTTACCTCATTGATTACGCATTCATGAACATTCAAACGCTGTCTCCAGCAAACAACTGGAGAGATCCGATTGGATAGATTGGGTTGATTGGGCTGTCGTTCCCACATACTCGATATTGTCTAAATGCGCCCGGTCGGTCAATCCTACTTGGTAGTAACACAAATAAATATATATTAAAAAATTAAAAATATAAAATGAATACAAAAATTAATTTTTAAAATAATTGTCGTGTAAAATAAAATAAATAATAAAATAAATTTGGTAATATCTTTTTTCCTTATATTATAATAAAAACGATTAAAACGTAAGC